TTTGCATTCTCAATAGCTCTACCAAAAAAACAAAAATAGCTCTAGATCCACATAGGTTATGATGCAACAAATTAACCGTCTGGTATATACACTAGAGAAATGTTTGCACAAGGCCAGAGCAGCTATGTATAAGAATGATCATAACAGAAACCTAAATGTTCAACAGCATTAGACTGACGATACATATATATCCATAGCTCAAACTCAATGCCAACGAGTTGATGCTGATTCAGTGACGCCTATAGGACAGGGTAGAACTGCCCCTGTGAGTTTCTGTAACTCTTAAACAGTAATAATGGAAAGCCCAGCCTTTCTCCTGATGTGGTTTTGAACTGCTGACATTGTAGTTACCAGCCCAATCCGCAGCCACTATGCTACCAGGGGCTGCATATACGATCCATGTAATAAATTACAAGGGATTGCTATATAATAGAGCTACAAAAATCAACACTGAATCACCAAAAAATGAGAACTAGAAAAAACTACAAAATATTTTACAAGGAACCCAATAATATTTTAGAAAAAAACTATTATTGTGGTGTGGGGAACAGAAGGATTTCTCTTAAACTGTCTCCCCAATAATATGTACCAGACTTAGCTGCTTGAGTATGACTGTACACCAGGCGGTCAGCGTAAGTAGTTCAGAGGTTATTCTCAACATCAACCATCTAGAGCGGCCAGACTGTATAGTCTGACTCATCCTAAGTAGGACCCAGTCCTTTCTGTTATTGTTCCCTTGAAGCAGTGCCCAAAGGCAAGCCTGGGACCACTGTAAGATGACTAAGCTTAGGCTACCACATGCCCTCCTATTCCCTCCTTTACTATTGCGCTTTCACCCCTAGGTCATCCCCCTCCTATTGCTTGTATTGTCTATGTTGCTACCCCTCCCTATGACGTAGGTTATTGTCTATCGGGGGCCTTGCACGCCTCCCAGGATAGTAATTGTCTGTTTTATTGTATGAGACACCAGAGTGATCAAACTTGTTCAAGGATGAATTGTACTGCCCCTTTCTGTGATGTATGATTCTGTAATCAGATCCCCCTAAAGTGATATGATGCATGGTTAGCAGTAAATAAGGAGGCTCCCTGGTTCTCGAGAGGGTGGCTGAGGAGGACGAGGCAGCTGCTTCTACTCTGACGGCTAAGTTCCCTCCACGAGGACCATCAAGTGGGGCTGAGGTGAGCAATGCTACCATGAATTGCGTCTGACTCCATTACTTGACTCCATCTTTTAACTCTCATGCTATGACTTTACTATAATCTCTACTTATTATCACTGTACAATTGCGCCTACCGAACCTGTGATGTTTTGTGGGGTTCCCTCTCCCCTTTACCCCACATTGTGGTAACAGCCAATCGCCACAAAGACCACACAGAATGGCAGACATAAAAATGCAGATAATGATGAATGGTTTGGATGGGGAATGACAAGAAAAAGCAGAGGGCTCTCACTCCCTCATCACTATTTTAGTAGTCGAGAAAGGGAGGAAACAGCAAGATGTGACCAGTGGGGATAGGAAGTACGTGAGAACTCTATTCCTGTACACTAGACTTGTACTGCAATTGAAGGGGAAAAGACCCCAATGAAGCTTTCCAAAATGATAGCTATTAACTCAGTGGTAGGTCTTTCCTTTTATTCTCTTTTGCTTGTCGGCAGATGCCATCAAGCCAGTTCAGTGATGGTATGTACAACAGATCTAAACACTGCCTGGTCCTGCACCATCCTCTGAAGCTCCGAGTTGAAGCCACCGTGTCACTCCACCTCAGGGTCTTCTTTTCCACTGATGCATTCTCCAAGGGCGGGTCCCTCCTAATGACTGTCTAGAGTGCATGAGACCAAGTCTCACTGTCCTTGTTCCTAAGAGCATTCTGGGTGTACTTCTTCCAACACAGACCTGCTTGTTCTTTTGACAGTTCATGGTATATTTAATATTCTTCCCCAACACCATAATTCAAAGTCATCAATTATTCTTCACTCTTCTTATCCATTGTCCAGCTTTTGCATCCTTAAGAGGCTACTGAAAATACCATGGCCTGGGTCAGGCACATCTTAATCCTCAAAGTGAGTGACATATTTGGTTTTTAACATTTAAAGAGGCCTTTTACAGATCTGCCCAACGCACTGTCATTTGATTCCTGACTCAGGCCTCCTTAAGCATCGATTGTGAAACCAAGTCATATGAAATCCTCAACAATGTCAATCTTGTGGTATGACTGATCCAGTTGTGAGGTTCACGTAGAGGTATAATTCATATTGAAGGGTACAGTCTTTGTGGTTTTTATTACGTGGGGGTAAAAAAAAGCAAAGGAAATGATGTTAAAACTTACCCGATCAATGATTAAGGCAGTGTGCAGTCTGCTGTCCACTTGAATTCACTTTCCTTTGTGTAAGATGTGTGCCTTTCTGAGATTTGACAGGGGCTATGACTGGTTACCCAACTAGAGGCAGTTCCCAACAGCTCTTGTGGCGAGTGGAGGGCACGTGACTAAGTACTTCGTGAGACGTACCCTCCCTTCGACTTCCTTTCACACTGAAACAGGAATGTGCTGCTGGTAAGCCAACTTCTAATCATATATACAGAAACAACCACTCCATAGGAGAAACAGAAGAAACTGGGAGCTTTCAACCACTTAATGTACTGGAGCCACCTGCCCTCTTTAACTTGTACGGGGGCAGAGGTTTTGTCTGAGTCGCCCCTTGCCCCATATTAGCTAACAACCTAATAAATAAAGACAGAAATGACCACGGATGAGCGCAAGGTGCCTCTACCTCTTCTACTTAAGATGTAATTCAGGCGCAAAGAAGAACTCTCAATCGCAATTAAAAGGCAATCTAAACTCACAGACTACCAGTAGCTAAATGTCTGTAAATTAATACATGAATTCAAGGCAAAATTCCCATGTAAGATTAAGAAATGTTCCTGACACGTGATAGGTTGGTGAGTACAGGTGCAACAATAACCAGGAAAATTTATAAGGAGAACATGGAGACTTACCTTCCACCAAAATACATCATAAAAATACAGTAACTGAAAGCATGATTAGTACATTACTGGGTGAATAAATGAACAGATTTCTAAAAGAGGCCCATAATGTGGTAATAAGCAAATGTCATAAGGGGAAAAAATGGATTAAGTTGACAATTTAAAATATCTATGACCAAAAAAGTAAACTAACAAGTGACAAACTACCAAAATAAAATTTTATGATTAGCAATAAACTGGAAGGAAAGACATACATCTAATTGACGATTGGCATACCAACTGTATTTTTTAAAATGCTAGTTAATATAAAAAGTATCCAGCTGAAAAATGAGTAAAGGACACAGTTAATTGAGAGAAGAGGAACGACAAATGACCAATCAGCCGAGATATTTCACTTTATGACTTACCAAGAAACACGTTAGAATGTAGTTTAATTTTTTGCCCATCTAGTTGACCAAAATTTCAAGCCTGATAGCATCAAATGTTGATAGGTAAGAAAGCCATATTTCTCCTGCACTATTGGTGGGAGTGGACATTAGGTCAGTTACTCCAGAGGACAATTATAAGTCTTGATATTAAAATCAAAAGGCACAAAAAAAACCAACCCATGACCCAACAATTTCATTTCTCAGTATCTACACAGATTAAAAGAACTCTATTTACCAACAGAGGAAATTCTTCAAGACAATCTGGAGTTTTAAAAGTTGTAAAACTTAAACCTGATGAAAAATGTTTATACTTATATCTGCTATGCCAAAGCCAATTTCAACTGCAAATATTTAAAATGATAATGTTGCAAAAGGGTAAAAATTGTAGAGATGTCATTTAAAGAAAGGTAAAAAAAATAATCCTAAAACATAAGCACTTGCTTTTTTCAGAAATAGACTGAGTCAATTAGTTTACAGGGCTGAACTGGGCAACCAAGCATTGGCTTTCAATACAGTTCCCAGAAGTGAGTTAACAGCCCCCATCTATACTTGTAGCCAGTATTCAAACAGCTTTCTCGATTTGGAAAAGCCAGCCATTTAGGCACTGAGTTTAGTACCTGACATAAATCACAATTCGCCAAGTGACACACCAACTACGAGAGTGTTTTTGCCTTGCATCACAAAATAAATAAAAATAGTAAGCCCTTGTTGGAATAATGATAACACAAAATATTCGAAATTGGGGGTTTGAAGGCCAATGATCAGCTTCGTCTTGAAAAACTTCCAGTAAGATAGGTAAATAATCCTAGGTTCACAGATGTGATTTAAAAGACCAATGCTAATCACACACATTTTGAGAAGTTAGCGAATGGCAATAAAGTTAATATTTGCTCTACTCCAAGAAGTTATGCATCCCCACATTTTCGGTTGGTGACACAAGTGAGTGAAGACAAAGCTGGGGCCAGGTACCGAAACGGTGTTGCCTGAGACTTTTGCACGCTAAACCCCATGGGTTCTTAGCAATCTTTTGTTATTCCCAGTTGGTTGTTTCTCCTCTTCCACAAAACAGATGGGGGCAAGCCTCAGCAGCCCGACCGACTTCTAGGAGATACTCGTTGGCACACTTTGATTCTCCTTAACTGCTCTCAGGTCTACTTACCCAGCAGACAGTAGGACATCATCTTCTGTCCACTCCATCTTCCAAAGGGAATAAAAGAAAAGCATCCACATCACCCTCTACTTTACGGGGGCCGATTCTAGGAGGACAGTGTCTGGTACTCCACATCACACTCCTCTCATGACTGCTTTGGGATCACCCACTCTGAGTAGGTGCCACCCCTCTGTAACCATTTTGGATTTCCATGCATACTTTAAGGTACAAGCGATACACATAGTTGGGGAACAGTCCAGCAACAAGATACTTTAAGAAAATTCAGTGTTTTCATATAATTGGAAAAAAATTAAGATTTTTCACTTGGTAAGCCAAAAAAAAAAAGTCATTTAAAACAGTTCTTGTCCTATTAAAATGATGAAATGAAGTATTAATACTTCAGAGATTAACTAACAGTATTAATGAAACACCAAGCAGTTACAGATAAACATTTTAATTGATTAAATATATTATTCCAAGATTTTTTTGAAATCGTACTTGTACTGTACTAATCAACAGCCAAAGGCAATAAAAAAGTTTTAAAACCAAAAATGTTCTGACATGACACATGACAGGAACCACTGTTATGTAAAGTAACATACTGCTCCCAAGAACAATGATATTTTTAGAAGATAATTCATCTTACCATATGTAAGGACAAATTCTGTCAAAACCTGGAAGAAATATATATTAGTGCCTGTTTTTTCAGAGTTTATTTTACATTTTAAATACAGTATTTTTCTCATTAAAAGAAAAAAAGCCAAGAAGTGCCTTGCCTCATGGTTCCTACACCATATGCAATGAGAGCTGACGGACAGTCTGACACAGCATTCTGTATATAACAGCACAGACACCTGTGAGCTGGGACTACTTTTAAAACAAAATTAAACAAACACACACAAATCAAGCACTGCTTAGGAGAAAGCAATCGAATTTCTGAACTGAAAGAGTTAAGTATGTATAAAACCTGGTACTAAAAAAAAGAGAAATACAGTCCACGAGAAACACCAACAGCAGCTCATTATGTAGTGAACTGCACACACTGCAGCTAATCAGTGGAAACCCTTCTACAAGAAGTGATTATGTTTTGAAATAAAAATCTCTAGGTATTCCAATAACATATAACAACGTGAAGTATATATTGCCATCTTTGTGATTTTCTATTTATATCAGACTCCCTGCTGAAAACAAGAATCTTTAGACTAATCAATCACTTATACAATTTTGAGGCAGTTAATTCCTATTTGTTTTCAGTGGAGAAAACAAAAACGTACCTCTTCCCCTCAATAAAGACATAATACAGATTAAAGCTATGAAATTTAAGCATGAGCACATGTATTTCCAATTCTATTACTTATAAACTGGAATCGTGTAGGACTTGTGCCTAAGGAGTAACACAAAGAAAAGGGACTGTCTCTGGCAGCAACTTCCTATCAGTGCAATGTTATTCCCATTACTAAGTTATATGAAAACTTTAAATATTTAACTTCAGTAGGTGCCATTTGACAAAATCCCGTGTGCATAAGACAGTTCCAATTTGAGATGATCTATAAAGCCAAATCAAGGCAAAAATTAATTACTTTTGCCTTGCTATTAGTAATTTGGAAAACAGATGGAAGAGGAAAATTTGTGGAGGCTCTCAGAAAGACGTTACAAGTGTTCTATGTATCTTGATATTTCAATTATCACTTGGGATTGAACATTCTAGGTTAAGTCTAAGTCTATCTCAGAAAATAACTCTGTAATATATAACTCTGAACTAAACAGTTGCACCAGAAGCACATACAATCTGGATCATTCAGAACAAGATCAAACTGAGATAATCTCTTTTTTCTATTATAACCAGTGAGGTCTTTGAGTTTTAAAGTTTTAAGAATGCTGACCTTCATTCCATCAAAGCCAGCTGCATCCCATGTAGCCTATTTATCATAAGGATCTCAAACCAGAAGGCAATACAGTGTGAGCTCTCATAAAACACATGGAACAGGCAGCAATAGACTACCCACTAGCCAAGTGGGGCCAGTGTTGGGATGTTTTATTTTGAAGATGTTAGATATTTAACACATAGTTCACGTTGACTTCAGCATCCTCCAGACTCTCTGCTGGGCAGGACCCAAGAACTTGGGGAGACTAAGGGATCCCTCCATCCCCAAAGTATGAATGTTAAAGGGTCTCGGGGAAATGTTGATTCCCAAAAAGAGTTCACAAACCACCAGACCAAAATCAATAAACACTGACTCCAATGTTTCAAAAAAGTCAAAGGAAATTTCCAAATTAAACGTCATCTTCTGCCCAACTCTAGACTCCAGATTCTGTAACAATAGCTTTATCTAGTATAATAGACTCTGTAGTAGACTGATTTTGACCTCCACAAAGAATAGGAGTTGTCAAATTTGAGGAGATAGACTCCTCTCCCTGGATATTGGTGGCTGCCAGCATACACTTCTTCATGACAGTCCCGTCGGTACACAGGCACAATCTCATCCAGCACAGGCTTGTTGGCATTCTTTTTGGCTTTCTCGTCATTAGTGATATGTTCTGAAATAATAATAGAGAAGTCAATGAATAGATCCAGGAAAGCCCAATCTGCAGCAAGCAATGATACTTCATTCTCCTTTGAGAAAATGCTCTTTAGGACTTCTTTTGAGCCATTCTGCAACTTGTGTGAATGCAAGTATGCATCTGTTCATGTAGGCATCCATTCACTTATCTATGCACCAAGCTGGGATCCAGTGGGGAACAGCTGACTATGATGGCCATCAGCATCCTAGTCCTCTCTGTGTCCTGACCACCGCTCCTTTTTATGAGCCCAATTTTTCTTCTGCATTCATTCTGTTCTTATTTTTTCCAATAGGAGTAAGTCAGAGCAAGCCAAGGAAAATGTTGCTCTGCTACTCTCTTTTCAACAATACAAAAGCTCTCCATTTGAGGGAGGCGGGGAAGGAAGCTTTTGAAGACCATTACTTTGAATAGGATTTTTCATGTTAACGTGCACAAGAAACTAATTTGCATAAACATAGTGTTGCTGGCATGTGAGGAGTAAAGCGAAGAAACCACAGTCAAAGTAGGCATTCAGAGACACCAGTCATTTTCACCAGGCCTGGGAGCCCTGGGGATGCAGTGGTTAAGTGTTGGGCTGTAGCCTGCATGGTTGGCGGTTCAAAACCACCAGCAGCTCCGCAAGACAAAGACTGGGCTTCCTACTCCCATCAACAGCTACAATCCTGCCTGGAAGGCCACTATGAGGAAGCATGCACTTGACAGCAGAGAGTTTGGTTTTGGTTCCATGCAACCCAGAGATGACCCAAGTGGTAAAGCATGGACTGATTCTAGGTTTGTCCTGGCTTTCTGAACTATAGCAATGAGATTAGGGGAAACAACTCTAGAAATCTGTAGGAATAAATATGAGAAAATAACAAACCAGCTTAAAAGTTTCCATGTAAGATATTACATATAAACAGCCTTCAGAAAATAGGTCAAAGAACAGTTAGTACAGGAGGAGGTAGCCAGAATTTCTGGTCTATAACATGGCTGAGTGAATTCTGGTGGCATAAGTTAACTGGGAAATGCCTATCAGGAAATAAAGCAAGTCTGAGAAAGGCAGTTTCTGTAAGAGGTCTAAAGAGACTATAATGTCGTAATCTGGAAGGGATCTTAGGATAGAAAATGAACATTCGATAAAAACTTAGGAAACGTGAACAAATGCGGACTTTGGTTAATCATCAGAATTCATTAGATAAAACAAATGTATCAAAGTCCAGTGCCACCAGCGACAGTGGGGACTTGTCAGGGCAGCCCTGTTTTTCCAGGTCTCACAAGTGCTCTGCCTTCAACAGGCTGCCATCTCACCACTTTCCTATCCCTCTATTATCCACTGCCATCAAGTAAATTCCAACTCAAAGTAACCCCATACGAACTGACCTACCAGATGGGCTTCCAAGGCTAAACTTTAAGGAAGCAGATTGCCACATCCCATCTTTCACCCATGGACCAGCTAGTGGGTTCAAATTGCCCATCTTGAGTTAAGCAGCTGAGCGCTTAACACTGCACCACCAGGGCTCTTTACTACACTTAAGTTGTAGACAATTTTTGAATGTCTCTTTCTCAACAGGTTTTCGCCTTATAGAGGTGCCGGCTTTTGCAGGTTTTACGGTACAACTTAAGATGTTGTGTTGGGCATACAGAAACCCTTTGTGTTATCTTTGCAACTTTTCTCTAACTCTAAATCTGAGGATATTTTAAAAACTTACTGCAGAATTAAAACAAAACAAAAACCCACAGGCAACATTTAAACCAAGACTTGAGATTTAAAAACAATAAAGGAAGGATACTATTCATATTTGAGAGAAAAAACTCCTCTGGTTACCTGTGAGACTCCTAGACTGAAACAATCCAACACCCTCAAACTCCTCTGCCCCTCTTCAGTCAAGCTGAAAGGACTCCCCATAAGTACACAATGTGGACAAGATAAGTGGAATAGGCACCTTTGTAGGCATTTAGACAAACCTAGCTTGTGAGCTAAAAATCCTCAGGAGGAAGTTCTAAACACTCTTAGCAAACAGTTCTTGGGAGCAATAAGCTCTCACTATTACTATTAATATAGACATTCTAATGGATTTGTTTTAGTAACGAATCAAAACATTTTATGATAAAGAATAGATTGCACAGAAGGTAATGTTATCTTCCATTTTAGGGATAAAGGACATCAAGGTTGTCACCTCTAGTCAGGCATTGGATTCCAGTCATTTTCACCAATGCTCATGCCAACATCAATAACCCCCAAACTTAGCCAGCTCACAGCTTAGATTAGGAAGTACTTGCTTTCAGAAGCGCCCTGTATGCAACTCAGGATAAATGTAATACCTCAATCCTCTTCTAACCTGAGCATTCCCAATCCTGAGAATTCTGCCCTTTATGCATGCACAAAGCTCACTAATTGGCATATACAAACAAAATGATTTCCCAGATATGTGCAATCAGACTGATTTTAATGAGCATGTGATTCATCCCAAAGCCTCAAATAGGACGCAGCAGCTCCTGGTTCTGGTGTGGCTCAGGTTTCATTCTCACCACTTATCCCTCCGTTTTCACTCTTGTTTTTTTTTTTTCCTTTCTAATTGAGTCACTGGTAGTATTTATGGGCAATGTTCTGTCTTGCTAGTGGTCATGTGGAATAGAGAATGCTGAAAATCAAATGTCATGTAAGACAAAGTAACTCCTAAATGACACTAGTCTACATTTGTCAGCTCACAAATGGATCTGCAGCCTAACACAGGACTTCTGGGGTGAGAGGCAATGTGCAAGGTATAAGGCATTTTCTGGGGCACTCTGAAGTACCTATGGTTCAAACACAGACAATAGAAGGTGAAAAGATTATTGTTGGAGTTGAAAAACTGATTGCTAAATTAAATAAAGTTTTACTATTAAACTTAATTTCAAAAAAAAACTTCAGGCACACCCGCTGTGCTACCACATATAAAGTCCCAGAGTGTGGGATGGGATGGTAAAACCACTGGGGCAAAGGTACCTCAAAAGTTGAGTTAAACGCTCTTCACTTTCTCTAAACATTACCGTTTCCCCCCCCTAAACATTACCTCTTTTCACTTAACTCAATACAATTCCTATGGAACTATAATATTGCCCACCATCTTCCAGACTAAGCTGTCTACTTATAAGCCACCAGAAAGGTCAGTCCCAGAGAACTGTCCTGGGGCTTGTTCAGGGCATTCCTTCCATATGGATATACTCTCATTCAAGGCAACGTGTCATTTAAATGACCATTTGGTGTGCAAAGAAGCTTCCAGTTCCGACTTTTCCAACTGCTTAATTAATCAGTAATACATTTTGTAACTTGGGACTGTCCATAAGACGATGTCTATTTTGCCTATTCAAAGAAAATAAAAAAATCACACTCTGGGGTCTCTGTAGAAAAGAATTGGAAAAAAAGGTAGGATATTTTGGTAAGCACTTTTTCTGTTTACGTTAAAAACAGAACAAAATTCCTTAGAATAATGACCTAAAAAAATTAATTCCAGAAGCCTAACTTTAAATATATAAGGTTCCTTTAAAAAAATTTTCCAAATGGCCTCCCACCTTTGGTTTTTCAGCTTTTCAGTGCACAAAGTCAAAGAAAACCCATATTCAGAAGGCAGTAAAATGACAAACTGACAAACATTTTCTTGGCATTCAGAAAATTTCACGTTCAGGTCTCATTCTCCTGCAGGAGACTGGCCTCTCTCATAACCTTCAGCCTAAGATTGCACAAATGAAGAAGCCTTTCCCTCTGTGGGAAGCATTAATCAGGGAATGGAAAAGTGGCTGTCACCTGAACTGCAAGCACCATTTCTGCCCACTCATGGCCCAGCAGCTACTGAAGATGAGCTATTAACCCTACCTTCTTCTTCCTCGTCGTCATCGCTGGACTCACTGACATGCACGCTGACAGCAGTGTTTGGAGAGTCTGTCCATTCAAAATACACCCCAAACCCAATGTCATAATTGTCTGTAGCAAACTCCCAAAAGAGATAGGATCCTTCTTCATGGGTGGGTACTCGGACAGTGACCACTTCTCCTCGGCCCACGGTAATAACAGAATCCACATCCTGCCGAATCTTCTCTTTAAAGTCTTTGATTTGGGGTCGTGTCCACATAGATGGAGATGCTATTGCTGGAAGAGAGTCTAAAAGCAACAGGAATTACAAAAGTAGAGCAGACTTGCCTTCACAGGGAGACAGCCACGCTTGCTTAGGCCCAGTGGCCACAAGTACTTAGGTACCAACTGCAATACATCTGGCCTCAGGCTATAACTAATTTAGACCAAGGACTGGGAGGAGTACAAGCCTCCCCCCCATGGATGCCTTTCCCCCAAATTAATAAATTTAACAATATCACATGCATACAGAGGTCAAGTAGCAATTTCAACATAGAATCTTCAAAGTAATTTTCCCCCTAACACTCATAATTGTATAAAGGGATTAAAAACTATTTTAGCAATTCCCCAACTAAGAAGGAAGAGTGATCTGGATGGTTTTAGAAGTCACCACTGACAACTGGGCTTTGACAACTCAACCTAGCCAAAGGACATCTGACTGGCCCTTCTACACTACAAGGGCCACCAAAACATCAAGATCCAGTCTAAGTGGAGTGAAAAATTGTTCAACTCACACAAATACGAAACTGCTTTCAAAAGCTAATTACTCTATATACTCGAGTATAAGCGGACCTGAATAATATCGGCTGAGGCACCTAGTTTTACCACAAAATCCACCTTAAAAATGTGCTGGAAAACTTGGCTTATAGTCGAGTATATGCGGTAACCACAGTTTGCCTTATTGGTTTTCAGGAAGCCCAAACTATATGAATGAGCATGTAGCTAGATGAATGAACATGCATGTGATAAACAGTACCTTTTGGTCCATTCTCCAAAGCTGCCTCAGCAGGTTCAGGTTCTAATTCTTTCTTAGAGTTGCTGTCATTGTGGGTTTGGGCCTGTCCATTAACTGACATTATATCACATGACACAGCTGTGTTCACTTTGGATGGTGCAGGCACAGAAGCCCCAGCTACTGCTACTTCCTGTTGTTTCTGTAACGCTGCCTAAAAGTCAAGAAAAAGGACAGCTAAGTGACCACGACGACTAATGAGTGGGACATTTGCCGAGGAGTGTACTCTTTTCTTTAATCATCCACTGTGTCAAGCACATTTGTACATTTCTTGCCATCACCATTCTCAAAGGAGTGCATTTTAACCACATGCTTTTGCCCACAAAGTGTTCTGCTCCAATAAATTACTGGCAAGCTTTATCAAATTTCATCCTCTCCGCAATATATATTAGTGGTACAAATTATGAACCCAATATTAAAACAACAGCAATAACAGACAAAAACCAGTGACCAAAGAGCACAGATTTTGTGATCGGAGGAGCACTAAAGAAAAAAGAACTGGGGAAAAATTAAACAAAGCAGAAATTAAAATAAAAAGCCAAACCTGTTGCCATCGAGTTGATTCCCATTCACAATGACCCTAGCGGACGGACTAGAACTGCCCCATGGAGCTTCTAGGGCTATAAATCTTTATGGAAGTAGACAGCCCCATCTTTCTCCTCAGAATGGCTGAACTTTCAGTTAGAATCTATGCACTTACCTACTGTGCCACTAGCACCTCTTAAGGAAAAACACAGCGTATAAAATAAAACCATTAAAAGCAAAAGTTGACTACAGGAACATTTATCTTTTCAAATGGAAGAAAAATTGATGATTTAGATAATTTAGATAATTTGCAACAGAAATTAAACTTGGTAGAAATGGTCACAGAAAAAAATTAACAGTCATGTTCTAATTAGTAAAATCTGTAGGGATCCCTACCCCCAAATAATCAATGAATCAAATATGGGCAAAGATAATAAATTATGTGTGCCAGTATTCTTCCTGTGTGTTCTTTCAGACAAGAGTGCCCCAGAGTACTACCTCATCTGACTTCTAATAGTAGAGGTTACTTTGCCTGTTTCTAAACTAAATCGACTCACAGAATATTATTTTCTTTTTTATGTCTGGCTTCTTTCATTTAACATTACTTTTAAGAGATTCAAGGCATGAATTACTCAGTTTATTGACTTTTCACTCCGATACGAAAATATTAATCATATATTCTACTTTTGATGGGCATTTGGACATTAAGGTGACTTTTAAAACTAAAATAATCCCCCCCCACCCCCCACTATCGTGATCCTAATTCTGCCTTACAAATCTGGCTAGACCATAGGATGTACATTGGTACAGATAGGAACTGGAAACACACGGAATCCAGGACAGATGACTCCTTCGGGGCCAGTGGTGAGAGGGGCGAGGCCTGGAGGGTGGAGGGAATGTGGGGTAGAAAGGGGGAACCGATTACAAGAATCTACGTATGACCTCCTCCCTGGGGGATGGACAGCAGAGAAGAGGGTGGAGGGAGACATCAGACAGTATAACATGATAAAACAATAACGATTTGTGAATTATGGGAGGTTCATGAGGGAGGGGGGACTGGGGAGGGAGGGGGAAATTGGGCAACTGAATCAGGGGCTAGAGTAGAAGGCAAATGTTTTGAGACTGATGAGGGCAGCGAATGTACATATGTGCTTGGCACAATGGATTTATGTATGGATTGTGGTAAGAATTGTACGAGCCCCCAGTAAAATAATTAAAAAAAAACAAACAACTAAAATACTAAGTCAAAAGTAGTAAGTATGAAAAAAAAAAAAAAAAGTAAGTATGAATTTGTGGTAAAAAACAAAAAGGAAATACGGGGAATGCCTTAATAATACTATGATCTAAGGATAATGACTTATTTTGGCATTTCACTCCACTTTTTTTCCTACGTGTATTTGTATACGTTTCATTTGTATATAATTTATAAATAATTTGAAATAAACAGCAAACTTCTCTGTGCTGCTACAACAGAATAGTAACAACACACTTAAACATCAAGGTAGCAGAAGAACACTGGGTCTCGACTCATGTACTCCTTCAATGCAGGAACACTTTGTTCTAATAATCAGGCATTCTGTGATGTTCACCTTCCTGACATGATCACTGAAGACAAAATGGGTGCATAAGCAAATGTGGTAAAGAAAGCTGATGGTGCCCAGCTATCAAAAGATATAGAGTCTGGGTTCTTAAAGGTTTGAAGATAAACAAGCTGAGAAGCAACAAAGTCCACATGGAAGCAGCACACCAGCCTTTATGATCAGGAGGTGTCGATGGGATCAGGTTATCAGGCATTAAAGACCCATAACAAAAAATCATATCAATGTGAATAAGGGAGAGCACAGAGTGGAGACCCAAAGCCCATCTGTAGACAACTGGACATCCCCTTATAGAAGGGTCACAAGGAAGAGACGAGCCAGTCAGGGTACAGTACAGCACCGATGAAATGTATACCTTTCCTCTAGTTCTTTAATCATTCCTCCCCCCAACTATCATGACTCCAATTTTACCTTACAAATCTGACTAGACCAGAGCACGTACACGGCTACAGATAAGAGCTGGCAAAACAGGGAATCCAGGACAGATAAACCCCCTTCAGGACCAACAGTGAGAATAGTGATACCAGGAGGGGAAGAGGAAGGTGGGGGTAGAAAATGGGAACTGATCACAATGATCTACATATTACCCCTTCCTGGGGGGATGGACAACAGAAAAGTGGGTGAAGGGAGACATTGGTTAGTGTCAGACATGGGGGAATAATAATTTATAAATTATCAAGGGTTCATGAGGGAGGGAGCGAGGGAGAAGGGCAGAGGGGGAAAATGAGGAGCTGATATCAAGAGCTCAAGTAGAAAGAAATGTTTTGAAAATGCTGGTGGCAACATATGCATAAATGTGCTTGACACAATGGATTGAAGTATGGATTGTGATGAGCTGTAAGAGCCCCCAATAAAATGATTTAATTTTTTTAAAATGCCATTTATTATCTCAAACAAATCCTGGATGGGGATCCTTTTCCTTCTCATGGATTAACCAAAACCCAAGCCTCCAGTCCTTTGCAGCTCCTCACTAATGCCAAAGGCTCAGGAAAAAAGCATTCCAGTAAGAAGACAACATGATTTTCAAGAATCTGGAGTTTTGGAAAACAGTATTTTAAGTTTAGTTCATTTTAGAAGAAATGCTAAACAACTGTGATCTTCACTCAGATTTCTGGACAAGTGGTAAATGCTTAGGTTATGTGTCAGGAGGAATTTTATCCTTGACAAGATGTAAACAATGAATGCAAACACAACATCTTCCATTAAGATAGTTGTGTGTTTTTTCCCTCATCACCAAGACTGTTGTTTCCTAATCACAGAGAACGGTAGCCCATAGGGTTTTCTAGGATGACTCTCTTGGAAGCGATCACTAGATCTTTTTCCTATGGAGTTTCTGAGGTCTGAACGGCCAATCTTTCCCTTAGCAGTGAGCACTGTGCAGCTATTAAGATTTAAGTATCATAATTTTAAATCCTATCCTTACACACTAGGAGAAAAGAAAGTTCAGAGAAATAAATGACATAATTAAACAAGATAAATGACAAGGCCAAGACAGGATCCAAGTGTATCTGACTTGGATCCCAAGTTCTTTCCCCTAAGCCACCTTCTCATGGGAAAGCGAAGTATTTCCAGCTGGGAGTTGGAAGAATATATTAAGGTGTTTTAGGTGAGTACTACCTACTTATGGCCAAAACCAAATTAGGACTACTAATCCTGGCATACTCCTATTTCACAATTTCACCAGACTCAACTAGCACAAAGGGCAAGATAATGCTGGAGAACCAGCCTGTGTCACAGGCGAGAGGAGTCCTCCCACTGGAAGTTGTCTGGGTCGATGGCCGTAAAGCACATACTTGAGGCAGGGCTGGTTTCCTCCACTCATCATGGTTCCAGACCTACTCTCAGACTCATTGAATGATATTTAGCCCCTACAACTCTCAAATGCCCTATAACAACTGATAGTGGCCACATCATTTGTTACTTCAATATCATAAATTTTCTTATGTAACTGCCAGTGCAATGTTAAAGTCAGTCCTTAATGTCCTTAAAAGCTACTTTACACTTTAAAGAGATGAACTAATATAAAATTTAATAGCAACTGAAGAAAAAAAAGCATTGGTTCCAGTGAAATAAAAAACCGTCTCTCTGGTTGACTCCCATGGTTATCTATCATACCTGCTGCTGTGCAAGCTGGACTTGATACAACTGCTGCATATACTGCTGATAGTGCTGCTCCTGCAATTGGCGGATGAGAATTTGCTGCTGTTCGTAGTTCCCTGGATACTGTTGGGCTGCATACTGTTGGAATTGCACGGCCGTCTGCGAGTTTAAAGCTGCCATTATCTGCTGCCTGAAAACATTAAAAATATATATACTAGTCTAACTACAGCAGATTGTTCATGACAAAACAAAATCTTCCTGTGATTTATTTTTATAATTTTATAACTAAGCAAAATGACTATGGTAGTAAAGTATACCAATCAGGTTGTATGCCAGGCTCAGAAGATATAAGAAAATAAATTCGACCTCTTTTACTTAGGGTTTTCAAGGAAAATCTGAGATGGAGGGAGAGAATAACAAGTATATCACCATCACCACCACAATCAGCAGCAGCAATGGCTGACTTTGTTGTGTCCAACTATATACCACACAGTGCTCAGAGACCTTACATGCACTGATTCATTTAGTCCTACCTTATGAGGTAGGATTTCACAGAGAAGTAACTTGCCTGAGATTAAACTACCAGTACCATATTTCTTGCATATAAAATGGCCACACAGGAAACTAATGTGTAAGGAGGTACATGGTTTGAAAATAAAATAACTAAGCCATATAATATGCATGTACCTCCTTACACATTAGTTATTTGCGTTAAAAAATATGGCAGTAGCCAGAGCCAGGATTCAAATTCAAATTTGCTCCAAAGCCTATTATTAGTCATGATTCTGTAAGCCAGGATGGTTTGTTATCTACACCAGGAATGAAATATTAAAACTATGGGTTAGCATTCTTCTATTTAAATGCATTAAGAGACGTTATACGTAGTCCTAATAAGTGTAAGTAAAGGCAGTGAAAACTTAAGGCTACATTGGATTTAAAGATTTTTATTTCTTTAAATGTAAAGTCTGCCTTAAAAATTAACACTGAAAGTCTTAACTGGATATATTTGGTTTTTTGTTGTTGCTACTAAGTTGATCTAGACTCACATTTGGACCCTCTATAACAAGGCGGAACCAACCTCAGGGTTTTCTATGCTGAGATCTTTACTGAAGCAAACTGCAAAGCCTTATCTCCAGAGAACCACTGCTAGGTTAAGTCACTGACCTTTTGGTTAGCAGTTGAAGGCTTTACTCACTGTTTTACCAAGGTTCCATATACTTTATTTAGAGACATGAATTTCTACGAACTATTACAATTACTTTTTACGCTCTTATAGAAACCGTTTATTAACTCAAGGATGTGACCAACCTAACAAAAACTCAAAGCAATTTATTAATAAAGGAAAACCTCACAAACTCCTGAGTAGAGCACGACACTGAATCAACTAGGTGCTTTCTCACACAAAACACACACACACACACACACACACACACACACACACACACACACACGAAAAAGAAGAATAGTCATGATTTCTCTAAGTAGAATGAGGCTCTAGATTGGTCTGAAGCCAACACTAAAGTTCTGAGGTATGAGGGGGCAAGTCAAAAAGTATTGCTGTAGGGGGGGCGGGGAGGGAGGGGAAAAAATGAGGAGCAGATGCCTGGGGCTTAGGTGGCGAGCAAATGTTTTGAGAATGATGAGGGCAATGAACGTACAAATGTGCTTTACACAATTGATGTATGTATGGATTGTGATAAGAGTTGTATGAGCCCCTAATAAAATGATTTTTAAAAAAGTATTGCTATAAACCGAGAGAAACCTTTATTTAACAAAGACTGTGAAGTGATTAATTCTTGGCACACAAGGGTAAGTCAAATAGTATTGCTACTAGAATTTGAGTTCACATACACATGCATTCAAATCCAAATAAAATGTGTTTAATTACGTCTTTGTGACTAGTGGATGACGGTACATAAATTTTCTCAGTAATATACTTTTCTTAATTGTATTGGGGTGCCTTTAAAAAATAGGTCTAATCAAAACAGTAGCTTCTGAGGGGATCTGCTGGATTTCAATTCGTGACAGGGAGATCAGCTGAGGTTATGGTGACATTTTTGTGAACTCCAAAAAGGTCGTCATCTTGAGAGATTTCCTTCAAGGATACAGGATGGTCAAGGGGGCTTATCATGAAGAATTTTACGAAAACTGAAAATTGCACTACCAAAAAGGCTAGGAAATTGGTGCAGAGAATTTTTCCCCCATCACACAAAGCACCTGCTCCTTCTTCGAGGATGACAAGGGTTATCCTGTGAGACTTTTGTTAGGAAATTCTCCTCTATGGACTCTATAGCCCTAATGTTGCCTCTCAGCTTCCTTTGCTCTCAAAACTCAAAGAATATTTTAAAGAAGTACAGTTTGAGTCCCTTGAGTATACCAGAACTGCTCTTTTGAGAAGGTGTAAATCAAAGAGCACAAAATTCTTTGGAGGGATAGAAAGAAATACTGCCTTCAGAAATATCAAGACAGATGTGGGATATGACTAGAAACAACAGTTTCACATTTTGACATTTTTGTTTAATAAAGGTTTCTATGAGCAATGAAAAGAAACCCATGGGATTTCATGTTCTCTGATTTAACCTATGTATCACCCAATCCCCGGGACTCCAAGTCTGTATGTGTATTACTTACTTCTTCCTGTACCCTTAACTCCCTCCTGAAGAACCAGTCCCTTGAAAAGCCAGTCCCTTCTGAGACAACTGCTCTTGTAGTTCTGAGTAGGAAATGGTTTTGTTTCAATGAAATCCTGAGAGTGAAAACCAACTAGATTTGTTTCTTGCATAAATCTGTAACTGGGTTTCAGACTCTAGCCAGTCTGTTAGATGCATGCAGTAGAGACCACATAAATCAACTGGGTTAGCCTTGCAAGTGTTGAAATAGCGATAATTTACAGAAAGCAGGAAGAACACAGCAGAGGAGTAAGCTGGAAAAAGCAAAGGCAAGAGATCTTGTGGACCCAGAGCAATCAAGCAACCTCAGCTCTTGCTTCTAGTGTCTGGGTTCAGAGAGCTCATCCCCAATCTCCCTTGTCATATTCCCCCTAGCACTGCAACTCAATGATGCATCAGACACAGTGCTCGTCTTTGCTAACATTACAAATGGCAAGTAGTTAATACTGATCTACTGCTAGTTTTATAACACACATCAGTATCCAAAGGCACACAAGTTTACTTTTGCTGTTCCAACCGAAGTCGCTCTTCTTCTATTCGCCTCCTTTCCTCTTCCTCCCGTCTCAGCCTTTCCTGTTCTTCCCTCCGACGCTTCTCTTCCTCCTTTTGCAGACGCTCTCTTTCCTCTTCTTCGCGCCTCCTTCGTTCCTCCTCCTCCTTCCTACAGGGCACAGGACACAGGGAATGAACCTTATACAACGAAGCCTATTCAGAAATATTTTAAGATGCCATTTTCTAGTGAAGATGGACACAGCCTTGTTAGAGAACCATGTGGTAATATCTATCAAATTTGAAATGCCCACAGTGTACCACTAAATGTTTACACCTTGGATCTGATCTTGTTAAACATAAAACATTACGGCAAGATTACCAGACTACAGCACTTAAACCATGGATGCAGCCATAACCTGAATGTTCCCTAATGCATGCTGACAGTACCAGTTTCCCTTCACAATACGTTACTCCACCAGGGTACATGGTTACACCTTCATCAGGGCTAGGAGAGTGCGGAGAAGAACTGGCACGAACTAACGTGCACAATACATAAAAAGCCTACCCGGGGCTGGTATACAGACTCGGGATAAATTCAATGGAAAAAACAAAACCAGCATATATTGAGAAAAATCATTCATATTGCATATATTTGTATATTGTTTCTGAAATTTTCTTTAAAAATTGAAACTGAGTTTACGAAAGATAAAATCTGTTTTAGCGACAGCTAAGTACCAATTTTATCCAGCTCTGACTCACCCTAACATGCTCCTTCCAAAAAGGGGAAAGTTTTTATGTCTACCAGTGGTGGGATATACAAGGAAGTTGAAGAAAGGATGAAAGAGAGAATTTCTTCTCTCTCCCAAACACCTATAAGTGATTAAAAACACACCTTAGACACAATTAAGGCTCAAGATAGAACAGTAGTGAGACCTACTTTTTGAATATTTCATTTTTCAAGGAAGTGGATTTTCTGTTGAACAATTCTCATACAAATTATTCCACAGTATTTAATTTTCATTGTTATCAGCATTCTCATGACTGTATTTTCACATAACGTGTGCATTAGAAGCATTTTCCCCCTAAACCACAAGTGCTTACTGTGTGCACAGGCATGTTATAAGCAAATACTCTTTTCACTCTGTTCTGTTTCCATTGATCTAGTTTCCCTTCCCATCCTTCCCTTCTCATCTTTGTTTTTGGATAAATGTTGACAATCTGTTCTAATGTGGTTAATTGTTCAAAGGGCACACTGCTCTTCAGGGACCCTGATTCTTCTTTAATTCGATCTCTATTGTTCAGCTGAAAGTTGAACTCGAAATGGTTTCAGTTCTACGTTAAAAGGTTATCTTGTGCATGGGTTTGGATTTGTGGCAGGTCCGATTCCATGGGTCTCTCAGTGTCCCATGCCAAAGCAAACTGTCACCCCGAACCATTGCCTGGCATTACCTGGTGCGCTTAAGGCACTGAAGCGGGTTTGCACAGTGAAAAAAAAAAAAAAAGGTTATCTTAGGGGTTAGTCTTGCGGGTTCCTCCAGCCTCTCGAGTCCAATATGTCTGACCTTTTTCGTTAATGAGTTTTGTTCCACATTCTTCTTCCATTCAAGCTGGGTCTTTCCACTGTGTGCCGGGTCAGACTGGTCACTAGTGCTTGTTTGGCACCATTTAGGTTTTTTGGCGTCAGAATAGAGGAGGTTGCTAATCTTATGGACTAGTTTCTTCCTTCAATCTTTGGTCTTCTTCAATGTCTTTTACTCCAGATGAGTAGAAACCAAAAGTAGTACCTTAAATGACTGCTCACAAGCTTACAAGACCCCAGGTGCTAGTCACCCAACCACAGGGTGGGGAGGATAGATTGCTTTAGATAGTACTGACATTTTCACAATGTCAAGTCTTCCAATCTATAAACAAGGGATATTTTCCCATTTATGTACTTTCTTACAGTAGTAATTTAGTCTATGATGTCCTGATTAGGTTCATTTCTAGGTAGTTTCCCCTTGTGGGGACTATTACAATGGCACTGACTCCTGATTTCTTTTTCAGAGTGCTCCTTATTAGTGTAGAGCACACATGTTCCCTAACTTATTTGGCCTACTGACTCCTTTTCTGAAAAAAATTACTTAGCATCCCTCTGGCTATTCAGAACTTTTGTACTGCGAGGGGTACCCCCCAAAACCCAGAATTTCCCCCCCAAAGCTATGTATCTAATTTTTTTTACACAACAACCATATCACCTTCAAAGTACTCTCCATTACACTTAAGACATTTGTCAAATCTGTGATTCCATTCTTGGAAACATTTTTCAAACTCATCTGTTTGGATGTCTGACATCATCCCCCTAATTTTTTCTTCACTTCTACACCAGTAAATCGCTGTCCTTTTCCCTCTGTGAGCAGTCAGGTGAGTCAGGTGTGTGGGACAAGAGAAGCATGCTGAGGGTTTTGTTTTTTGCCAAAAACTGGCGCATTGAGATGTCTGTATAAGAAGGTGCATGGTCGTGGTAGCAAAACCAGTCCTCCGTCTGCCACAATTCAGGCTTTTTTGTTACACACTTTTACGCAATCTTTTCAGAACCTCTAAACAGAAAGCTTGATTAACAGTCTAACCTGGTGGAACAAACTCCAAATGCACTACGAGTTGACATTTTCATCCACTCGAGAAGTTGATGGACATCCAGGACGAGGTTTGTCATCAATCAACATTTTACCTTTTTTGAAACGAGAAAACCACTTGCCCACTTGGAATTTTTCCCATAGCACTGTCCTTGTAAGCTGTGTTCAACATCACAACAGTTTCTGTAGCATTTTCCCAATCAGGAAACAAAGTTTCACAGACTCACATTGTTCTCTTAAATCGGCCTTCACAAAAAACGAGGTTCAAGCAAAACTGCTTTTATGAAAAAATTTGTGACCAGAAAACCTTCCCCAGGCAACGCCACTGGGTGCACTAACTCAGAGTGAGTCATTCGATGCTCGCCTAGCGGGGAAAAATGCATACTATGAAAGCTCTGCTCCAAGCAGTGCAATTCCAGTTTTTTGGGGGTACCCCCTCCTATAGTCCATATCTGGATTAAAGTGTAGGTATCTGCTTTTGTAATTAATTCCCTTGAATTGTGCTGGAACCCCTACGGAGTGGTATCGCCCACTTTGGGAAATAACTGGTGTGGATTTTTGTATAGATCTTATACCCTGTCACTTTGCTGCCACAATTCTTCTATTAGCTTTAGCAACTTTTGTTGAGTCTCTGTTTCTATGTATACAATTATGTCATCTGAAAATAAGGCCCTCTCCCAAGAAGAATTTATTTCAAAAGACAGCATTGAATCTGCAGCTCCGGGAGAGAGACATATCTGATCGGAGCACACGGGAGCAGATGAAGGGGGAGGAGGAGAGAGTGGAACACATCCTGGCTCACCAGGCCTTGAGGACAATGATCCCAATTAGAGCAGCCAGTCCACAGAGAGGACCACATGGCCAGCCCCACTATGAGACATGACGCCCCTCACTGACCCATAGCCCTACAGGGGACAACACCGGAGACACAGTGTGGGAATTGCACCCGATCTGATCCTGCCACACCGAGGCAAAACACTAAGGGGGTGCAACAGAGCAGCAAGAGAATGGAGTGGCGAGGTCCCCAGGGAATG